CGCCCCCGGCCTCCCCAGCGCCCGCCCGGGCCGCCGCGGCCCCGCTCCGCCCGCGCGGCGCAAGCCTCGGCCAAGGATACTTGTTGCACGGCTCTCTGCGTGGTGGTGTCCGGGGACTGGGACTCCTTGAGCAGCTGCAGGATCTGCTGGAGCCCCTGCTCGTCAGGCTTCCACTCATACTCCATCTTGGCCTGCTGGAAAACACCAGACAACAGGCGGCCGCGGTTAGCGGCGCGGCGGGCCCAGGCCAGGGGAGGCGGGAGGGCGGAAAGGAAGGAAGGCCGGAGGGAGGGAGGGAAGGAAGGAAGGCCAGAGGGAGGGAGGGAAGGAAGGAAGGCCGGAGGGAGGGGGCGCCCGCCCCGCTCTGGCTCTGGCCCCCGCAGCGCGCACCCCGCCACCCAACGGCCCGGCCCCGCCGGACGGAGGGACGGACGACACAGACCTGCTCCCGCCGCCGCCGCCCGCTGTACTTCGAGCCGACTGAGTCACGGCGAATTCGTGATCTGGCCCGAAGAGCCGCCTCGCGTCTTCTTGGGTTCTAGCGCCGGCCACGCCCCCGCCCGCCCGGGCCGCCTCGGGCCCACCGCCGCCGCCGTCAGCTTTTCCCCGGTGCGTCCCACAGCGCCAGAAGCCTGGGGGCGACAAAAGGCGGGCTCCTCAGTCCCGGCCGGGCGGGAAACGGGGCGCTGCCCCCTCCGCCACCCACCCGAGCAGGGGGAAGTAAACCTCCAGCAGCCGCGAGGGGCGAAGCGGCACCCCGGCCCCGGCCGGGCCCCCTGGCCCAGCTGCGGCCGCGCACCCGCAGCGCCTGGCAGCGGGCGGCGAGGCTGCCGCCCAGGGAGGAGAAGCGGAGGTGCCAGGAGTCGGGAACGGGGTACCTGCGCTGCCGCCTGCTGTGCTTTTCCGTGGTTTGGTGGAGTGCTGAGCGGGCCTTGGGAGTTCTCCAGAGGGAATAGGACCGACTACGCAAGGAGGGGCGGGGGGGCCGACACTCAAAAGGAACCGCTTTGAACACCTACTGTACCTTCGCCTCAGCCTCAAAATACATCGGGGTCAAAATTAGCGATTTAGATACATACAAACATATGTGTGTGTGTGTGTGTATATATATATATATAAACACATATGCATTACATACATTTTTATATATATAAAACCCTATTTTTTATATATTACACATGTGCTAATGGGCAAAATAAGAACACGTGCTGCTTAAAACTGGTCTAAAATATGAAAATGAAAAACACTGATTCCTTGGCTTTTTATGATCTTGCTTTCAGCCACTGTGTTTGTGAGCATCTCGCTTGACTATATGAAAACTAGTTTCACTTTTTGCTGCTTCTGCTGCAGCACAGAACTCGGTATGAGTGCTGCACACCACAACCTTAACAACTGCTCGGAGGCACTGAGGACAGGGAACATCAGTGATTCCTAATGGTGCATCCCAGGTAATTTACTGTGTGGCTCTTCACCTCACATCCCCAACACTTTGACAGGCAGCTGTCCAGTCTCAGGTGCCAAAAAGTGTCCTGAGCCAAATCTCCTTCTATTACTATGAGCCACCATTCTTGAAGGAGACAAAATTAGTCTCCAGCAAAACAGCAAAAGGAGCCATAACAGGCAACAAGACAGGCAGTGCACTTATAGTATCTACATATCTGGATAATGAGGGCAGTGAAAGAGGGTATTTGGCGAATCAGGAAAGCATGCACACTGGAATAAGAAGCAGGACACAGCTGAATAGCAGAGAAGTATGCAGCACAGCACACAAGAGAACAAAACCAATGGAGATAACAGAAACAGCTTATAAAAAAAACCCCACACAATAAATGGGACATGTTTCTTAAGCTCTTCCATTTAAGCAATTGCGGTAGTTATCATAGGGTTGTTTGGGAGACAGGCTACTAAAGCAGTGCACCTCTTGAGAGCTTATCCCACTGAAATGTCTACAAGATGGAGTCCATAAGGTGGGTGCATAAAGGCATGCCACCAGTTACTAGGAAAGGATGGGCACGAGATTTTTATGACCAGGGTGGATCTCCAGTAGTTCCCCTCTAGTACAGGAAAGTCTCAAAACAAAGGATGTGGACCCAGGCCATTAAAACTGATCTTCATGGCTCTTGGTGCATGGGCAGGAGAGCTCTCCACGGTGATGCTTGCACAGCTGGAGCAGATGAAAGCTGAGGTCCAACAAATCAAGGAAGTGCTAATTGGGCCTCATTCCCCTAACCACTGCCTTAGCAGGAAGGTTGTAGAAACCTGATTATCTCTGAGACTTCTGGCCCACTGTCAAGTTTGTTTGAAATTAATTAAAGCTTCAGAAGTTACTTTTCAGAAATTATAACACAAGGATTACATTTGTCTAATTTTGCCAGGAAACTAAGGGTGCTAGACAAAAATAACACTAAATATGGGAAACAAAGGAAGAGACCAGAAAGGAAGGTTGAGAGACAGAACAGGAAAAAGCAGGAAGAGAAGCAGGCCATGGATCTATAACTAAGAAAAACATAGGTTTCCCTTCCATGAACGTGACCAGAATTATTAAATCCTGGTAAGAACTTTCTGCAGTGGAAAGGAGAGAAAAAGGCCTACAAATCAGAGTATGAATGGGAGTCACTACAATTAGTGGGGAAATCTAAATGCTTTAGATAATCACCCTCCAAGATAGGTTCCTCCTTATGTTCCACACAGGATCCTTTGCCACTGGGAAGTATTCAGCATATATAGAAATCAAAGCAAGTATCTCATCTTGCTGGATACCTTCTCTTCTTGATCATTACCTTTAAGTTTTTCTTACCTATCTCTAATCCTTTATGTTCCGTAAAGAAGCAGGAGAGGGGAAAATACTTAACTAAGCCAAGAAAAAAAAATTCCGATTGAAAGCAAAGAACATTATAGAAAAAATGAGAAAATTGTTTCTTTCTGTATCCTTTGCCTCTTTGTTTTCTACTACCTGCTTCTCTCAAGCAAAAATCTCATGTAGAAAGGAATTCAGAATCAATGTTAGGTGAAGTACCAGACAAAGGCATGAAACCTGCCATTCAAAACATAAGATGGCCTGGTTCATCCCACTCAATCAGTATAATGTACCAAAAATAAATTTGAAACACTTCACCTATATATGTTAAGGAGACAAAAGTTCACTGAAGACAGGAACCTTGCACAAATGCTGAGGCTAACCTTTGATTTCTCTATTATCTAAGCTTCAGACGTCATGTACTAGCCACAATCCACTGGTATCACAACAATGTGTAATATTAAAAAAAAATAATCAAACCCCCCCCCGCAAACACTAATCTATATCTTTCATTTCTCTTTCCACAAAGCTTGCTGTGTTCTACTCCAGTATCCACAAAAAGCCCAGAAGCAAATTTTTTATCTTTGGTTTTGTTGTCAATACTATCTTCCCTTTCTCTCTCAGAATGTCACATTAGATGAGGCTGAAATGTCACATATCTGGGATTTGTCGTACCAGGAAACAAAAGGAATGGCTACACTATGTAGAATGGCTAACTCATTCAAAATCCAGTAGTGAGACCAGTAGCTCTGAATGCATGAGGCAGGCTTCAATTCTTGTTTCTTCCTAGGATGATGAACCCAATCTTTTTTTCTGGAAAGTGTCCTTACCACCACATTTGAATGTACTTGGTGGTAAGTCTTTTAATCTCTCCCGTTCCTTTCCATTATGTTATAAAAAGATATTAACAGGAACTTGGATTAGGAACTGCTTTCTCATCAGCAACCTGTATAATAATTGACAGTTAATACCTAAGAGACAAATGTAGACAGCACAAATAGGAGATTCATAACAGAATACACTCCCCACCCATCCAGTAGTTTCAGTGCACTGAAAAGAGAAACAGACTGGTGCAAATTTCTCCCCACAACCAGACAGAAAAGAAATCTGCACTACTGGTCCCACCCCTCAGGCCATAGCCTCCAAGCTGTACCTTTGGGAAGTACAACTTCTTGCTGCTAGTGGTTTTGAAACTAGTTTCTAATAAAAATTAATTCTCAAATTTGTCCTAATTTCAGAATTGTTAGACAGTTTCAGCCACTTTACCATTTAAAAATTTTTCCCAGTCTTTAGTTTTACTACATTGGTAATATTAGGGTTTGGTTTTTTTCTTTTAGAGACAATTCTAAGGAGCTACCTTCTTGTCACAAAATTCAGGCACTGCTACCTGTGAAAATGGTGTTTAATAATGGGAATCAATCATTCAATCCACTGCTAAAATCCAGGCTTCCAAGTTTCCATGCAGACTGCCTATAGTGTCTCTCTGTACCTCTGTGTATATAAGGTTTGTATGCACAGAGAAAATAACTGATATTCCATAATATCTTCCTGTGTAAACCCTCTTATTTCAGGCTAAAAGAGATCTTTGGACTAAGCTAAGCAGAAAAAAAGCTCTCATAACACAGAATAAATGTGTCTCTGCGAAGGACCTCATGCAGAATAGCTACTGCTATATTATTTTGCGATGCCTTCTGCCTAGAGATGTGCCCTAAGGTTTCACTTAAAAAAAATACTGGTAGTCCTCACATCCAGCATATCAAAGGAGAATCCATTCTAAAACATGTAGTGCAGTCTTCCTGAGTTCAGCCATATGATACAAGATGAATATTTATTACACAATCATTTGAATAGGTTTTAGAAGAAGATAGTTTGACCCTGTGAAGCACCAGAGAGGTTACTGAGGAAACAGATGGAAAGACAGTCTGAAAGGATTTTCTCTCCATGGCTAAAATGTCTATTAAATTAATTCTGTACTTTTCCACAGCTGATTGGTTATTATGATAGAAGGATTGTTTTAAACAGACATCTGAGGAAACGTTAGAAAAATATTTTTAATATGGGATCTCAATGTTACTTTATATTTGTGGAAAGTCATATAAAAGCCTCAGCCAGAAGAGACTGTAAGCTTACTACTTTCTGGCTCATGCAACAGTAACTAATTTCACTGTTGCCATTGCAATTCTGTTGAACATAGGACTTCATGGTAAGATTTGCACAAATAGTATTAAGTTCCCATATGTAGGAGCGGAATCTCTTTCCGGTAACTACGGACACAAAAACATTTTTTAAGCATTCTTTGATGTCTGAGCATGACAAAAGGCTAACTAAGACCAAGAGGAAATCCACCTAAGAGAAGGTAAGACAAATCCAACATGATGCAATGTACAATGGTAAGCCTTGGACTAAAGTAAAAACTTCTGTGGAATGTACCAAACTAAGAATTTGCTTCATCAGTAGGGTTAAGATTATCTTAAAACAGGACTTTTATTCTTCTATCTACGGATAGAACTTCTACCTGTAAGGAGCAATTTGATAGCAACATTCAAAGCAGCAAAAGAATGGGCCTTCAGATAATATAATTTCAGATTTGGGTACAGTTAGTTGACCTTCATTTCCTGCTGTCATTCATTCCCTGTGGCTGGTAGGTCTAGGATTAGAATGAGAAGCTGAAGAAACTAAGATAAATTATGTTAGCTTCCTACCCTCTTGAGACAATTCTAGCTATAATTGGTTTTGTCTTATGTTGCGTAGCAAATTAGAAATCATGTATGTGTACAATTGATCCCATAGTACACCTCATAATGAAGCTGAACTCAAATTTGCTGGAACACTGGA